TCGCGGAAACTGCTGGCGAACATAACTCTGACAATAAAGCGACAATCATAGATACAGCACCTTTGCATAGAGGTATCGTTAAAAATTAATTTGATTTTTTTACATGTCATCTTTTTTTTCTTAAAGAACTGTACTTACTAGAATTTTAAAGAGTCTTTTTTATGTCTATTATATTTCCTTATTTTACTTGTACATATAAACTTATAATATTTCCAGCTTCTTGTCTATTGGGTGTGGAAACAAGTGACCTTCGAGAATGCTTAACAAGCAGTAGTGTTGTTACAAAGGGTGAAACAATTGCCCGCTACCATTCACCCACAGAAGCCGCAGTTGCGAGAGACGCCACTTCCAGGGGAATTTACGCAAGAGCTTTCGACCGAATTGTTGAGAGAATAAATGCACTTCTTTCTCAAAATAGACCTCAGAGGTTTGTTTATTTAAATATATATAAATCAAAGAATATTATGGCAATCATAAATTTACATTAATGTGTTTAAATATTGCAGTGATCAGTTATCGATTGGAATTCTTGATATTTTCGGCTTTGAAAACTTCACTAGAAACTCTTTTGAACAACTATGTATAAACATAGCAAATGAACAAATACAATATTATTTCAACCAACATATATTCACCTGGGAACAGCAAGAATATATGGCTGAGGGTGTGCCAGTTGATCTTGTTGAATTTTCTGATAATAGGCCTGTTTTGGATATGCTTCTTTCAAGGCCAATGGGTTTACTTGCTCTACTTGACGAAGAAAGCAGATTTCCGCGTTCCACAGATAGAAGCTTAATTGGTAAAGTATTTAATCATAAAAATATTCCAAGTTCATTCCTCATACTATTATTACTTAATGTTACTTTTATAATCTCATTTATTTTTATATTTTAGAAAAATTTCATCGTAACATTAAAAGCAAATTTTATGTTCGACCAAAATCCAATGCCGTGTGTTTTGCCATTCATCATTTTGCTGGCCGTGTTGTGTATCAAGCGGATGGGTTCTTAGAGAAAAACAGAAACTTCTTACCACCAGAAGTAGTACAGTTAATGCGACAGAGCCAATACGATATCATACGATTTTTATTCCAATGTCCAATAACAAAAACCGGTAATCTTTTTTCGTCATTCCACGGGGACATGGACGCCAGAAGTTTAGAGAGTCCAACTGGAATTATAAGGGTAATTGTTATTAATTTTGATTCTAAAGAACCCCAAACTAGTTTTAAATAGCTTTAGGGCAAAGTTACATATCTGTTTTTATTTTTAGGATCGGTTTAACAGTCGAGGTCTTGCATCACAGTCAAGGGCTCAACAAACTGTGTCAACATATTTTCGGTTTTCTTTAATGGAATTACTACAAAAGATGGTTAGTGGGACACCGCAGTTCATAAGGTGTCTTAAACCAAACGATTCTCGATCACCTAAACATTTTGATTCAGCTAAGATACTTAAACAACTAAGATACACGGGAGTATTAGAGACGATTCGAATAAGGCAAAACGGATTTTCTCATCGGCTTACATTTGAGGAATTCTTGAAAAGGTAGACATCCACATAGAGTTTGAGACGGTTTTCCAAGTCTATAAAATTTCATAACCAATAATTTCTGTTTAGGTATGGATTTTTAGCCTATAGTTACGATGAAGAAATCAAACCTAATAGAGATTCATGTCGACTTCTCTTACTGAGACTAAAAATGGACGGTTGGGCACTCGGAAAGTCTAAGGTTTTTCTCAAATACTATCACGTTGAAGTTCTTGCAAGAATTTATGAAGAACAGGTAACAAATTGGCGATACAAATCATGTCATAAGATTATACATTATATACTTATATTATATACTGTCTAATTCTACATTATTAATATTACAGATAAGAAAAGTAGTGTTGGTACAAGCCTGTGTTAGAGGTTGGTTAGCTCGACGTAACTATTTACGATTAAAGGCCCAGATGGCAATATCAGTGCTTACATTACAAAGACATGTACGCGGGTGGCTTACAAGAAAGAGACTAAAAGAGAGACAAAAACAACTAGCAAGAGAATTCCAAAAAGGGCAACAAGAGCAGGAAAACCAAAGGAAGCAACGAAATGCGGGTAAATTTTTAAATATTAAATATAGTTTAATTTTATCTAGAAAATATTACCTATTTGCACAGCTTGTATTTGGCCAACAGGTGTTCCAAATAATAATAAAGGTATGTTGGCAAAAGTATTGAGAAGAATAAACACCGAAGAAACAGATAACGGAAAGATAAATTCAAGCAATAAAGAGAATATGGATTCTAAAGCTGCTGTTGTTATACAAAGTCGTAAGATTGTTTTACATTCAAATTGAATATTTTATTTATTCGTATTTAATTGCAAAATTGTAATGATTTTAAATGCTGTAAAACTATTTTTAGAAATGATATTAATATCTAAAATTAACAGATTTCCGTGGTTACAACACACGTCGTCGTATGGCTAAAAACCGCCAAGCACCGCCGCCGCCACAGCACGCAGCACCGGCTCCACCAACACAGCAACATATTATGCAGCAGTTCTCTGTGCAAGAGAGAGCAGCTCAATTACAAAACTTTGCAGAACAGGTAAACTAAATCTTAATTTCGTTATATCAATTAATTTTAAATTTCTTAAGGCAATACCTTAAATTTCCTGCTGACAACTATTGATATTGTTTTATGAATATTACAGGTTCACAACCAAAATCAAGAAGTCCATAAAAATTTACGCCGAAACAAGCTAGGTATTCGTCTACGAGATGTACAGAAGCCTCCAGAGGAATATCAACCTCCTCCAGGTTTTAGTGTTGTCCCTGGTATTATAAAAGAACAGCCAACACAAGTTGAACGAGATGCAAGTCGACTTTCAAGGTATTTATCTTCATGTAAATAGAAAAAACGTGCCAAGAAGTCGTACCTCTTTTATTTCTATTTCTAAGAAAACAAAAATTAGGCTACAATGTTATTTTCTATAGAAAAGTAAAAAATAATTTGTTTTTGCTTGCCTTGGATTGATAGTCCATCACCGGAGTTTTATGAAAGTGATACAATGCCGTGGGATCAAATCTTTCAAACGAAGGATATATATAATCAAAATTTAAGGTTTGTTGTAGTGCAGATAAATAAATAAAAGCTTAAAGTGGGTTATATTACACCTAAGCAAAAGATATATTAGCTAGGCATTTGTTAGATGTTTTGTATTTTTAAGTACAATATGTTGTTTAAAAGTGTCAAAGCTTATATTTTTATTAACTTTCATGATAATATTTTTCAGATCTAACGATAACGAGAGGGACAGTAAGGACAAGCCTCTGCAAACAAATAAAAATTGGCCAAATCTGCCTTGTAATAGGCAATGTAGCGGTCTTGTAAGGTATGATAATATGGACAGCCATGTTTTGACATATTGGCCTTAAATATAATTGTTTCTAAACCTTCGCATGCTTTACAAAGTGGGCATAATAATGGGTACGGTTCCAATTTTTGATTGAGTGTTTGCTCTTTGATTCATTTTTAATCACTAAATTTCCACATTCGCAAAAGTATTTCGTTGTTGGTCTTTCTTCTGTTCATGATTCATACTTAGAAATTTGTAATCTTTCTTTTTTAGTTCATATCGTATTCTTAGTAAAGCTATAAATATTAGGCAGCTAGTTATTTTTTATTGTAAAATACAAAGAATCATGAAATATTTTAATTGTCTCATCAATTATTAGAACTAGACTAATTTCACTAGTAGATATGATATTACATAAAAGACCGATAAATAATTAATCATAAATATTTCGTTTTCAGTAACAAAATTAATCAACTTGTGAAGCAAACGCAAAAAAATACACCTCCACCTCGTCCCATTTACAATTCAGCTAATGATCCGGAATCAGATCTGCGCAAAATACTTCGTAATTCACCAGAAATGCTCGCAACACCGGTGTTCAGTTCAGACGAAGATTACACTGACGGACCATTCAGATTCAAACAGCTACTGCGGCCAACTCTTGGTCCCACCGAAAGCTTAAGGAAGCGTAAAGTACGTGCTTCATCAGGTCGTAGTCCTTGGATGTCAGACAGTTCCCAAGACAGTAACAGTTCTAAAGAGCTGTATAACAAAAGACGTCCACAAATAAGCATGGGTGTTTATTATAATTAATCCTCATAATTATATTCAATCTCTGCTGTTGTGTTACATTTTATCCTTTTGTTGTACATTGTAACCATAAATGTATGTAATACTGTGTCATTTAAAAATACTTACTTAGTATAATGAGTGTCTTGTTATAGGCAGTATGACTTTTATAGTACATTAATGTATATTTTATATATTCTTAATACCACCTTAGAAACGTCAATATGTTTAATTAAGCAAATACCAAAGTTCCCATATAAATTGTTATTTATAATGTTATTAAAAATAATAAAGATATGATGGTGTGTTTTTCCATTAAATTATAATTAGATCATGATTTATGAAACCTAAAATTAACTTAATTTTAAAAACGTTATAATGGATCTTTAATGTTAAGTCTATAATTACTTTTTCTAAAATAATCTTTTTGATTGTAAGAAATAAATTTCTGTTGTTGTTAAATTCACCACACAGCATCATTGACAATTTTTGTGATAATGTGCCAATGATTAATTTATAAGAGGGAAAATGAAATAAATAGTTGAACAAAATGTGTTTCACTGAATTACTACCCGAAATTCGAAAAAAAATTCTCCAAATTAATATTAAAAAACATTTGATTGATTTAACGAAATCATGTTAATAGATAAAGCTTGTACCTTTGTTTTAATAATCGGAGTTCGTAACCAAAGCAAAATAAAATACGTAGACCAGTTCATTTTATATTCCCGCAACATTGTAAACACGCTATATTACGTTTACGTTGTACGGTGTGGACGGTGGCGCGGCGAGGTAAGCGGCGTGAGGCGCCACGTGTCGCGGCCAATGGCAAATCGCCCGCGCAGTCGTGTTGCGCCTGCGCCAGCCATGGCGGCCGCCGGCCTGCCCGATATAGAGGCACATCTATCCCAAATAAAAACGCGCTCCATCGAGAAAACGCTACTCCCACTCATCAAGCAGGTACGCTACAAACGCATGTATTTCTACATTAGTCGATATATAGTTGTTGCAGATTATGTTGCTTCAACACGAACGTGACGCTACCCGACAGTACAGATGTACATATCGAAGTAACACTCTGACGCAATATTAATGTTCTGACGATATTCGTATATTTTACGTACTGTGGTCGTAACTCTATTTCGGGAATGTATTATCGTCAGCCCGCGACGTTTCGATTACGGCTTTACGTCAGATGCCAGAATTTCCCGCCCCGACGACATCTGTTGCTCATGATTTTTGCGCCGTCGTAGTGGTGACTCGGAAAGTAGCGCCACATTTTAAAAATCTGACCATCGCAAGTACGAAATGCAAAATCGCAATATGTGTTTATTCACCAGCATATATTGTGGCGTAGACAAAGAAAAGAAAAGTAAATCATCTTGCATTGATAAAGATGTCAGTGTGAGGGGTGAGAGAACACGTGTAGTGTGAGAAGGCGGGTGCGTGCGGGGTGAAGACGGCAGCGGATCGATCCTCCGGGCCCGTCGGCCGTCGGTCCGTCAGTGCCGCGGCAGACTCGGTTCGAGCGGCGCGGTGCCGGAGACAACCGCCACGGAGCACGTGCGCGGGCCCCCGCTAGCGCGTCGCTACGCGCGCGCCACAAACCCCTCCCCGCCCAGGAGACATGGACGCTCTCTCCGATGACGACGAATACGTGTGCCGCGAGCCCCAGGTACGTCGTTGGGGCATAGCGCGCGAGCAATTTAACATTTTAAAAAGGATAACATGGTAACTTGACCTAAAAGAAAAATCCTTTATTAAAGCAACAAGTTTACGTGAAGGACGACCTTGAACCAAATCTTTAAGAACGTGATATTTTTCCTACCCTGTCGCGAATCGCGATAACCAATCAAATATAGAGTCAGATTCTTATCTTATACAATTTTAAACCTTAAAAAACAACTCTATAAATTACAATTAAAAAGTATTGTTTCTTTTGTAATGTCTTATTTGTTTGTACATCAAAGAAAATGATCTTCTAGAGAATCTTTGAAATAATCGTAAAGACTCATACTTTGTTTTTGCAATTACATTTACACTTTGTTTTAATAATACAAATGTGATTATTTGTCAAGCCAAAATGTAAGTACGTCTTTAGAAAACTTGTTATGCTTCTTGAACTAATTAAATTAAAAGTAAAATAAAACCAGGCCCTTATAGTAATGTTAAGGAATTAAAACATGTCTAAATTGTATGTTGTATGTGAAGCTGGCGCTGTGTTATGAATTAGATACTTCAAAAATATTGAGCTATATATAAATATAACATGCATATATGCACATGGTATGAGTTTATATTCTGAAAAAAGAAATGAACCGTAACTATAAGCATACCTACTGTTGAAGAAAAAAATACTAATTGTTTTCCGAATTCTTCAAAATAATAAAATTATGGTATAAAATATAATGGATTAAATCTTAAAACTAAAAATATATGTAAATTTTAAATATCAGGTAAAAATATGAACCGTTTTGTTTGTAAATTCTGCAAATATACAAAAAATATATTGAGGGGAGGGATGTAAGCGGTGCCATAGAACAAAGAACCAGTACTTTTATGTTTTATCAGTGAGTCTATTTGTCTAATCTAATGTGTTCACACAACATTTCGCACCCATTTAATCGTTTTTTATTTTATATTTATGTTTAAAGTACACTTGCATTTGTGAGAATTATCAATCGTGCATAAAAATTCCAGTAAGACAAAGTCGTGTGCAAGTTACTTAATAAAATAGTTTAACTCAGTCCGCAAAACGGATTTAACTTTTCTAATACTACTTCTAGTATGCTGTTAAAAATACATATTCTTTTTATTTTCCTTGTAACAACCCTGCTGGCATCTAAGAGAGTGATTCTTGAACCTCTTAAACGTTTTTTACATAGCAAGCAATGGGTGTTTAGTTTAAGCTACAAAGGGGTCGATATGCTTAGTAAAGATAAACTAACGCTCTCTGAATATTATTATCGTTTAAAAAAAACATACATTGTGTATTCTGAACAAAAATCTGTTATGATGAAATAAATATTTTTTATTTATAATGAAAACTTTAACATTATTTTGGTAATTAATCTCATACAAACGTAGATTAATACTCACCAAACAACACTATATTAAACCTAAGATGAAAAGATGAAAAGGAAGTATACATTAAGGTACCCTAAAGCTAACATTCTCATTATTTGAGCAAAGGTATGAAAGTTGCTCTATTAAAACGTAGAGATTAATAATATAAGAATACACGCTTTCATAAAAAGTTTTGCTTTGTTTTCATATTATCTTGATTTAATCAGTTCTTTTTAAAAGTAATTTCAAATAGTCCATTTAAAATGGAAAATATAGTTTTTCGCAAAGTATATTCTTATCCCTAAAATGCATATCGATTTCAGTTTGCATAATTTATAAAACAATATGTAGAAAATTGTTATTCATGATATTGTGGCTGCTCGCGAGTATGATCGATGTACGTTAAGTGATTAAATTATTTTAACATTTGCTGCACGATCGAATATTTTAAAGTGATTATAATGATGTTAATATTGGCTCGTAGATTAGCAGCCTGGTGGCGACTCGGGGAGAGGCAGCCGCAGGGGGCGCGGCGGTGCAGCGTGTAGGTGCCGCTGTCTGCTGTGCTGTCGAGAGATTTGTGGCCGTTGGTGAAACTATAGCTGACGATAATCCCGACGTTCGACACAGTATGGTGCTTGCTTGCAAAGAAGCCAGGGCTGCAGGTAATTTTAAGTTTTTTCAAAAGGAGATTTTTTCACAAAAACCCTATTAAAATTCTCTTGAAATGAATAACGTTCCTTGCCACGGAAATTTCCTTTGCAGAACGTGAGCTAAATTCAAATGGTAGTTATTAAACTTAAATTTTATATTAAAGCCATATTTTATTGAACTATATTCAAAGTAAACTGTTTTGAAAGAGCCCAAAGAAAATTGCTCGGAAGAATATGTAAGCTGGGGTTTCTAAAGTTATATCACGGGATACCATTTATTCAGCTTGAAATAACAATAACTTTACTCGGAAATATACATAAATTTGCATGAAAATTGAGAAAGTTCTGGGATTGTCCGGATATCTAATGACATTCAACGAAATAGTTGTAGTTTTATAAGAAAATATGACAATGTGGGTTGTAAATAATGTCAAGCAACTCGTACACGATCTCACTCATATTCGTAATACCACATCTCTCACCATTAAACTTTAAATAAATGAGTATTTAGAGCATGTTGCACTCCATAAACTACACATTTATTTGTTTTACATATTATTTAGTCCCTCTTAAAAAGATACAGATTGGTCAACACATTGATTAATGATATCACTTAGCAAAAGAAAACTTGAGGGTCAAAAATGACTTGTGGATTTATACTCTAAATGCTAGCTAGCTAAACTGCTCTAAATTTTGCTTATGCATTACATCAATCTGACCTGCTTTCGGCAGGTGAAAGAGAAATATTCATGCGTGGCGATTAAATGATGCTCTAGACATCCTTAGAGGTTGTCTTGAACTACCAATGTACCTAACATACACATCTGAACGTAATTAAGAAATGTTTAAGTCCAGTCTATTACGTAAATAAACAATAATAAATTGTTTCTATAAACAAAATAATTACATGTATCGTAAATAAATTAAAAGTTGCACAAAGTCTTTTTTATTCTAAATCGTGTATTATAAAATACGAGCGATTTTATCAGATCATTAACTTACTAATACAACATAACTGGTAAAGCTACGAGAAACAATTAATAATTATAAAAGTTTTTAACATAAAATCAAGGCCACGATTTTCATATAGGGGTATAAATTTATGTCAACCACCTGACCCGAATTTTAATGCCCGATACGGATTCAACGTGGCCAAACAAAGCGGCCTTTGGCTCATCGGGGGTTTTTACGGAAGCGCCTGGTTTAAGGATCCGATCGATACTACACACTTGTAAGATTTATTTATGTATGAAAAACTAATACTATTTATATACGGAAAACAAATATAAATGAATGTTGTCAATAACAACTACAGTTCTCGTGACTTTAAAACGTGTTTAGTAAAATAAAAGTAAAATACAAAGAAATTCTAATTCAGTTCTGTAAAAAAATAAAACGTTTATCGTTGTTTAAGATCTAGATTTAAATTGTAATAACAATCATGCAAGGAACGTAAAACAGCAAAGATCATATAAATCTTTCTATTTACTTTACGAGGTCATTTTACGTGTAATAATTACTTGTATGACTGTAAGCGGATTTCGGGACGACTTGAAATGATTGTGGTCAAGAGCTGTGGTCGTAAAACGTTTGGGATAAACATAATAAACTGTTCTTTTTTCAAAACAATATTATTTTTAAATTGTGTATTTGTTAATGTCCAGTATATGACTTTCAATTCTCAATTGAATTTTTCTTTAATCTACATTGAACATTATTTAGATCGAAGAATTAAATGTATCACGTAACTGCTCTCAATCTAAAGTATACTGCCAAAAATGCAGTATTTTTTTTTCACATTCCATATTTATATAAAAAATATTTATTATTTAAATTATTGGTGTGCATTTCTTTTCTCGACATAAACTTCAGACACGAAAACGATAGAACTTAGTATTATAGCAGCTACCTCTAGAATGAATTAACTTTGTTCATACGAAATAACTTATTCATTTATAAATTGACGTCGATGTGATTTTGGTGTAGGTACGTACGTAAACACTTAGAAACTGTTAGTATTCAGTTTAACATTGTAAACTCGTAATAGGGGTAGGATGTAATACTCTCGTAGCGTCAATGTGACTTCCGTCAAAACACCTCCAGTAACCTATGCGGTTTAACTTTTACGGTCTCTTGTTACCGCAGCCTCGTAAAGCATCACGAAATTTTACTGCCTGATTTATTCATGAACATTTCCGCCATTGAACGTTTAATATTTAAAGCTTCGAGTTTCAAACTAATTGAAGAAGTTTTATCATTTACGGCTGGAGGTAATACCGAATACCAATAATTATATTTACGTCATATTCCCCCTCAGTACAGTTATTGACAGCTGAAGGTATGAAAGTCAGAAGCGTGCTTTCAATGTTTATAACATAAAAGAAAATTGACAACACATTTCTGGACACGAATATCGTCGCTATATAAAAAAGCAACATTATAATTTATTTTTCTTTCAAAATTATGTATGGGTCAAAAAAAATTGTTTAATAACAAAATATTACGCTTGCATTATACAGTAGTAATACAATATTTAAATCCCATATTATTTGCATGTTTTCTTTTTATATGATCTCTACTCTGTGGTTGTTTTGTTTAAATCTAACAACAACACAGCTGAATCAATGAACAATAATTTTATAAGTAACTCTACGTACTCTAACACAGTATGTCTATTATAATTTTTATTTTAAATCATATAACTGCAAAAAGAAAATGATTCATATAAACATTTTACTTTAATATATTTTTACGCCGGTATAGATGCACCGGTCACACAGGCATAATCCAATATATGATTTCTCTACTACAATATTTATGTTGACGCACTCGTAAAATATAGAACAAAGCGTTACCTCATTGTTTCCATATAAATCACTTTTATTGTGACGACTGACATTGATGTCTTACTTCTACCGACTATAATTTTTTTTGTAATATTTTTCTATGAAGTAAACTTTTACATGTCGTGTTTCGTAATGAACAATGTATCTCTGTGTTTACAATTCACGTGGACTTTCAGGCTTCTAAGTTAAATAAATAGCAGATTTATTTGACGATTTCTATTTAAAATAATAGGAAACAGACATACTTATGCTAGATATTTCTTTGATAATGTCGAGCATGTGTGTAGATATGGCTAATGACAAACAGCTTAAAGATTATATAGGTATATGTCTTTTCCAAAAGAATATGTATTGATAATAACTGAAACACATTTATTTTCTGAGATTTATTAGCATTTTTTAAGATAGATTATTTTATATGTCCTAATATACATTTTTATTAGGTTTATTTAACTAAAATATACAGTAAGTTAAATGTTAATACAATCGTAGGTCCAACTGTTGTAGTAGTTACTTTTAAAGCTTTTAATTCCTAGTTTCTGTGCTGTTTAAAACCAGGACATGAGTGTTGCAAGTTATAACAATATAGAAACAAATGTAAGAGATAAAACGTCTCCATACAATGCACACTATTATATTTCGGTATATGTTTTTGAGGAATCCAACACTGAAATGACCTAGTTGTTCTGCATATCTATCCGATTAAATATCGATCGGTAACTATGAATAAAGTCGGAAATCTGATACAAAACCAACAAACAATATAACAATAATAATGAGATCTAAGACTTTCGAGAGTTTTATTCATTTGAATGAAACTAATATTTTTCGGATATACTACGCGTGTTTTATTTTTGTAAAAACACTTGTTTTATTTTTGTTAAAAAAATTTGCCCGTGATCACGGTTGCTGCAAAACTAACCGAAACGTCCCGAGTATATATATTTTATTAGTTTCATTTATATTCGTCTCATTTAATTGAATGGTATGAATTTTTATATTAGTTTCGTTTAAATTAATATAACAATAATTCTTATCCTTGCTACATGCATAATATAAATAATTTTTCTATATTATTAAGCTTCTGATTTTATTCTTGCATCTTTGTGAAAATTTGGAGTAGTCGACCTTCTGAAATTGTAGAATAATATTATTACATCATCTTTTATCATTTGGCTTCTTCCGTTTATTAAATTTTAAGAACAATTATACGTGAATTGCATATTTGATTACCTTATAAACATTTCTGATGAATTTTACGTATGTTATTAAAATGTGTAAAATGAGGAACTCTCATCTGTAACTTTGAAATAAATCGTTAAACGTAATTGTGTAAGAGATACGAGACGATTCATATTCAGTTGTGTCAAGCTGTGAGTCACAATCAGTAAATGCACATGTTGATATTTATTATTGATACCTCGGTGGTCGTATACGTTCTTGACAGAATCATGATTTACGACTACTGCTGTCTGCGCCAACCTGACAACTAGTGAAGACTAATTCTAATGGAACTTTTACAAGTCACCTTAATGTTCACGTCAAAAATGCATTACATGAAAAATTTCTATGGATTCACGCAGAGTATATGTCATATTGAGTATTCATATGTAAGGTTTAGTTTTTATAATTTATAATGGTAAAAAATATCTAATTTTAATTTTTGTTAAGCACTTAAAAAAAATTTACTTCGACCAAAACAGTATTAGATTATCTGATGTCGTGGTTTAAGCGTGTGAAGTACAAAGTTATGATTTATCTACATTTACTCAAAACAATCTTATTTTCTAAACTATTTAATCATCAGTAAAGTTTGTATTTTCTATAAATGAATTACTTATAAACTTAAAAACTTCGAACGAAATATTGTACTGGGTTTTGTAGAAATAAAAACTTTCGAATCGAACTGTGCGTAATGAAAAATGGATTGTTCATGACATCTAAACACGTTTCTGGCAATGGTCCCAGTTTGTTAAAAATGAAATTTCACTATCTCCCTCTCTTACTAATATTTCAACGTCATGCAAGCTTCTAGTATTTCTTTAATACTAGAGCGTTAAAAAATCTCTCAATTGAGTAAATTTTGTTAAACGCTAGATAATATTAAATATTATTTCAGGTCACGTTCATGCTAATGACTTAATTTCAGTAGTTTACAGACAAATG